CCTTCTTGAAGTGGTTCTCTTTGGACAGAGACACAGATGGCTGTCCTGTATGCCACGGTATGCTGCTTGTACTTCGCTCCACCTTCAGACGACGCACCTGCCGCTGCAGTGAGGTTCCCCATGATGGCCACCATCGACATCACCAAGCTCTCCAAGGATGTCTTGGACTACCCGGATGCCGAGGCGTCCGACCGACGGTGACGGATCGAGGCCGTGGCGGAGGTCGATGAGCTGCCTCTGCCCGCAACAGTCCGAAACCGCGCCGCGGTTCGCTGCTCCCGTCCACCCCCAGGCCTGCTTGCTGCCCATGGGCCTCACCAGCGAGAACGTGGCGGCCGCCTACGGCATCCCGCGCGATCGCCAGGACGCCATGGCCGCCGACTCGCACCTCAAGGCCTCGAGACGAGCTGGTCCTGTGCATCCGGGAACGCGGGGAACCGAGGAGCGTCGTTGCTCCTAGTAAGGCCAGGAGCCCCGAACGTAGCGTCCTTGCTAGCGATGCCCTTTGTTCCTAGTAGCTTCTTGTTCCTAGTTCATGTTTGGGAATGTATGGACCATGTTTGGATCATTTCTGCGGAAAGGTGGCGTGTGGAGACCTCACATGAACACTAGACAGGACTGGGAGGAGGTCAAACTCTTTACAGTTCAATGAGTGGCGCATGCTGGAATGAACTCTCCCGAATAGGCCATTTCAGGAATGAACCATGTAGACTAAATGGTGGCGAGAAGAGGGAGCATCTCAGGCAATATCCTTGCCAAAGCTTTTAGGCAGGGTGTTGGAGTTTTGGTGATGTGCAGTCATGTAACTCCGATACTGATGATACAGCGGCACATTTTTTTTCCAATATGAGCGTATGATGTTTGGTCTCTACCGAACAGAAACCCAAGGCAAGATGATTTGAAGCGGCTCTGGATGAGGTGTTAAAACTTGTTGGTACCATATTGTTATAGCTTCTTGTTACTACTATATAGTAAGGCACTTGTTACCAGTAGCGATGCACTTGTTCCTAGTAGCGAACATTGTTATATCCAGTGCCGCTGGGGGTGATTGATGGAGGATTGGGGTGCCCACTCACTTAGCTAAAAAGCACCCCTTTGGAACTCCTGGATAGGCCCTATTGCCTGTTCTCTTCTGCGTTTGACATGCTATTTGTGAGTTTAGTTGGTCAAAGGCATTTGGAACCTTGACAGGCTTTGGAAGCTCAGAAGAATGGCTGGTTCAAAGAGGAGATCGTGCCTGTGACCATTGAGAGCAAGCAGAAGGACGGCGCGGACATTGTTTTGTGACTTGGGAATCACCAACTCCCAGCAGTTGTGGTGAGTATTTGTGAGTATTTCAGTATGGTTTTGTGGCTTCTTTCTTTGTCCTGGACAAGATCCATCACTCGAGCGCTTCACTGTTCAATGCGGGCGGCACGCTCGACAGGCACGGCCGTGGTCGCCGCAGGACGGCAGCGTGAAGAAGGTGGTGGTGGACAAGGACGAGGGCCCACGTGCGGGCACCACGCGTGAAAGCTTGGCCAAGCTGAAGCCAGTTTCTCGTCTGTCGGAATTGGGAAGAAGGTGGATCTCAATCCAAAGGCAGAAGAGGGACATTTAGGACGCCCGGTGCTTTTGTGGCGCATAAGAGATCAGCTGAACGAAGCGAGTTGCCACGCAGGCCTCGTGTCTTCGCTGCGTGGTTTACCAAGGCCTTCAAGGCGGGTGGCAGCACCACCGCAGGCAACAGCAGCCAGGTGACCGATGGCGCGGCCATGGTGCTCTTGGCCAGGTGGGCGAGCCGAATGTTACTAGTAGCAATGCCCTTTGCTACTAGTAGCTTCTTGCTTCTAGTAGCGATGGCCTCCAACCTAATAGCGATGGCCTCCACCTAGTAGCTTCTTGCTACAGAGCAATCGGAGTACACTGAATTCACTTGTTTTTCTGATCGGTTCAGACTTCGGACCTGCAAGGGACTGCCGACCTGCAATCGAACGGAATCCATGCCGTTTTCTGTTTTCTTTTCCCAATTTTCGGCCTCACATCATTGGCTTCACGGCTTTTCGACCCGAATTCCCTAGCCACATCTTCTTTTGGGATCTCCATTCTTCGGGGGATCTCCACTCAGACCTCCCTCCACTGTTGACTTATAGCGCTTCGCTTGCGCTTCGCTTGCGCTTCGCACATCGAGGCGCTCCGCGGCCAAGAAGTTGGGTCTGCCCATCGTGGCGCGCTTCCGCTCCTTCGCCTGCGCCGGGGAACCCGGGGTGCCTTCCACCTCGGAGACTGCATTCGGAGAGCTTTCAGGCTTGCAGGTCGCTACTAGGAGCAAGGACGCTACTAGGGGCTCCTGGCCTTACTACTAGGAGCAAGAAGCTATTAGAAACAAGAATTCAATAGAATTAGAAGTCATATATAGATTCTCAGGGATGGTCAAGGGGTGTGACCTATGACTGCGCGTTGATGCTTCAATCCCTTCTTGGGGGAGGTGTTTGGAGAATACAGGATCCCGTCTTGTCCTCTTTTTCCTCTGCATCCTGAACTGTTTTCAATCTGCTTCATGTCGTTTCCATTCTTTGACCGGAAAGAGTTGGTTTCGATCTCTGAGGTGGGCGTGGACCCCAAGCTCATGGGCATTGGCCCGGCCTTCGCCATCCCTCCTGCACTTGAGAAGGCCGCTTGATCCAGTTCAAGCGGAACACACATGGCACTCCATTTTGCCACAAAACTTGGTCGATTTCAATCAACCTGGGACAGGCATCTCAAAGTCACACCCGTGAGCAAAGGTTCTCGTGAATATTTTGAACGTGGAACCGAAAACGAATTCAAAGCTTCTCCCTCTCCACCGCACTCTCCGCACTCCAGCTGTCCACCATCAGGCTGGTTTGAAGGTCGAGGACATCGACGTCTACGAGATCAACGAGGCTTTCGCGTCCCAGGCGACCATGTGTCTTGGCGGATGGGGAACCTGAACGGTCAGGGGTTGCCGGTGGGCACCGGTGGGCACCGCGCTGGGCACCGGAGAGCGTGACGGGCGGCCGACCGTTGCGGTGTGCGAGGTCCATCGACCACTTGAAGATTCCCATGGAGAAGGCGCATGGAGAAGTGTTTCGGATCGAAGGGTTTTGCTGTTTACGATCTTCACGCGCTTTGTAGCACATGATATATGTGAAGCTTGGATCTTGCAATGGGACAGTTGAACCTCCCTCTTAATGCCCCACAATCTCTGCTGGAGTGTGACAAGCGGAGCTTTGTAGGATCACCTTCAATCTCCAAAGACGATTTGAAGAAGATCTCATCCAAAGCAAGGACGCTACTAGGGGCTCCTGGCCTTACTACTAGGAGCACGGACACTACTAAGGTGGAGCTACCCCACTCCGTGGCGCCAGGTGAACCCTAAGGGCGGCGCCATCGCCCTGGGCCATCCGCTGGGCGCCACCGGTGCCCGGCAGATCGCCACGCTGCTGCCGGAGCTGAAGCGACAGAACAAGAAGCCGCTCGGTGTGGGCGGAGAGGTCGCGTGTGAAGCTTCGGAGAGAAGAGACATCTCTTGATAGACGGGTTCGATCGGCAGCTTGGCCGATTTTGGGCTCCCAGGCTGTACTTGTTGTGGGGATGCTGCTTAGGGACTTGAGTTCAGGAGTTCTGTCAGACAGGTTGGAATAGGCCTAGTAGGTTCTAGGCCATTGCTAGTAGGTTGGAGAGAGATCGGAGGGTGGAATCATTCCGTGAAATCTCCAGGTATGGTGTGACCTCCATGTGCCTGGGCAGTGGCATGGGTGCAGCCTCCGTGATTGAGTTGGAGTGAGTGGCAGATGCAGATTGGCCCAAGAGGGCACGAAGGAACCCGAATGGATGCTTCGTGCTGTTTTGCCTTGGCCGAACCGTTTCAAGCTGCCTTTAGAGGCAGATTTCGCTTTTGACTGGTCGACGATCAGTGGGTGCGAGTCATGTTCTCCGAAAGAAATCTTCAGCAAAAAGCATTCTAATAAGTTAGTAACAAGTGCCACGCTACTAGTAACAAGTGCCTTACTAGTAGTAACAAAAAGCTATAACAATATGGTACCAACAAGTTTTAACACCTCATCCAGAGCCGCTTCAAATCATCTTGCCTTGGGTTTCTGTTCGGTAGAGACCAAACATCATACGCTCATATTGAAAAAAACATGTGCCGCCAACACCCTGCCTAAAAGCTTTGGCAAGGATATTGCCTAAGATGTTCCCTCTTCTCAGTCTACATGGTTCATTCCTGAAATGGCCTATTCGGCCAAGTTGATTCCAGCATGCGCCACTCCAGCAGAGGTCCATGTTCGGAAGCCCACGATTCGGTCGACCAGTCCCCGCGGCGTCACCAGAACGAACCGCCGTGCTCCGTTCGGACCGGACCGGGAAAGGAGAGAAGAAGATGCGTTCGGCTTTTGAAGGCTTTGAAGCATCTCAAGACAGCTAACATCAATTGATCTTACATTTTGATGAAAACCCATTTGTGGAGCCCAGGGAAAGTCATTCTAGTTGTTGTTTTTTGTTTTGTACGGTGCTTTCTCAGTCAGGTTTTCCATGGACTTGTTTTTGCGCATTTGAATGCTTTGAGAGTTGTCATATGACAATATTGGGAGTTAATTTTGCCGTGGACCTCTTCAAACGACAGGATCACATTCTGGTAGATGAGGCAAGAAGGCAAGAACACAAAAGTCACCAAACAGCAAAATATTCAGAACAGGTTGTACCGAAGAGGCTTCTGGAAAGCCATGAAGTAGGGTGATGCAAACTGAAGCTGGACTGTCAAACACCAAGAGGGGAAGGGTCACGAAGGCTCAATTGCTCAACGATGTTCCATGTCTTTTTTCTTTTTTTGGATGACATCAGAAACAGAACAGGTGTATGCTGGTGTTTCGGAAGACACCTGGAGTTGATTTGGGACCAGTTCTCCGAAATGCCTCGTTCGTCACCCGTGCTACGGGGCTCTCAGCGTGGTCCTCCTTGAACGCCGAGAGACACCGTGGTCCTTCACGCCGTCGGCCATGAACCGCGTCGCACGCATTGCCAGCCACGTGAGGGATGGCGTGGCGCAGGTTTCTCCACTGGGAAACTTGGAGATGAAGTTGGAAGTGGATGGAAGTGGGAAGATGAAGTGGACATGAGGATTCTGTGTGTCTTCAGAAGACGCCGTTCATGACATGCAGATCGAAACCTTTCCACACAGGTCAAATCCCGTCTCAAGTGATGGATGGCCAAGACAAAAGGTGGACGATCCAGCGCTTGAAGAACCAATTTATCAGTTTCTATCAACCTGATTTCACCGAGCGCTCCCCGAGAAGAAGCAGAAACAGCAAGAAAACGGACAGAAAGAGAAGGTCGAAGAAGGAGAAAGAAGGAGACAGAAGGAAGGTCCAAGGAGCTTGGCTTGGCACCTTGGACCTTCCGGATGCCCACTTTCCGACCGACGGCGTGGCCGGACCGAGCGGACCGAACGGGCCGATTCCGCCGTTCGCGGTGGACTCCCATCGCTTAGGAGCCCAGCCGACCGCTGGCTACTGCGCCGCCGAGAAGGGTGAGGACCCCGCAACGGAACTGTGGCAAAATGCTTCGTTCGTAGCGATGCCAGGAGCTCCTAGTAGCGTCCTTGCTGTTAGTAGTAAGGCCAGGAGCCCCCAGTAGCTTCTTGTTACTATAAGAGAAAAACGGGAAGAGATCGATCGGTTTCCCATGAAAAGGCGCTGCTGGAGGGTCGTTACAGAGAGCCGTCTTGCGAGAGCAGAATCAGTGGGATGCACGCGGTTCGCAGAGAGATTTGTAGTAGGAACAAGTGCATCGCTACTAGTAACAAGTGCCTTACTAGTAGTAACAAACAGCTATTAGAAACAATAAGCTAATGTTGGATCCTCTAAGCGGGAATAGCATTAAATTCTAATTAGACTTAATTCCAATAGCTTCTTGTTACTCGTTGGATCCTTCGTGGGGGAGACCGCTTCTCCTCACGAACAGGAATGAAGCCAACTGACAAGTTGAAGCGACCACGTGAACCTTGCAACTCAGTCGACTCTTTCGCGCAGAGGGTGTTCCTTGTTCAAAATCCTGAGGATTTGTATACGGATTCTGCTGGTGTTTTGTGGGCAGGACGACGTGGTGATCTGCTGCGCGGTGCGAACTCCCTTGTGCAAGGCCAAGCGCGGAGCCTTCAAGGACGGGATGGTCATGTGGTGACGTTCCGAGACGTTCGGTGACGGGCCCGGGGGTCTGGCCGGTCTGGCTGCGGATTTTTCGATGGCTCTTTGAACACCTTTCAAACAAGGACTCCAATCAGCCAATTTTGGCCACTTGGTTGATGGTCTTCAATTTGGAACACGTGTTGGCTGCGGATGGGGGGCCGCTGTGAGTGCTCGGGGCGAGCACCTCCGTTCTCTTTTTCGGGTGGCCACAGCTTTCATGGCTTTCAGGTGTGTTTCTTCCACAGCAGGACATCGCAATCGCTGCCTGCAGGACACCGCACCGGAACTTTTGCTGGCGGCAGTCTTTAAGGAGGCCACGGTCAGAGCAAAAAGCACACATTCTTGCCAGACATGAAGAAAAAAACATGTCTTGTCTGTGCAATCTGTGAGCAAACCAACAAGTAAGCGATATATGCACATGGGTTTTGGAAGCGTCCGTCTGACATCGCTGCCATCACTCCGCCCGGAGCTGCCACGCGACGCCGCTGACGAAGTCGCCGCAGGTGGTCGCCCGGACCAAAGTGAATCCCAAGGACATCGGTGACATTCAGATTGGCCGCTTGGGCACGAGTAGGTGGGTGACCACATGTAACGAACATCGGTGACCCAAACGGAGCTGAAATGAGATTCTATAGTCTATCTTGCTACGTCCGAAGCTTTGGGAAAGAGATTCCAGCCTTTACTAGTCAGTGCTATCCGCGGAAGAGGATAGCACCAATCCTCAGACCGAGGCAATGTGTTGCAGCCAGGAGCCAGTGGCCTCACCTCCCGTCCCTCGGAGCGGAGCCGGAGTTGTACAGAGGGGTCAGTGCGGACATGGCAGGTGTTTTGACTTTTGTTTTTCTTTAAGAGTTGCTTTCACCCTGCAACACTGAGAACTCATTCTTTTCTCAGGGCAGGGTCCCAAACTATGCTGTGCTGTCGTGTGCTGTCGAGCGCTGTCGACCCGGTGACTCTTGGTCCAACTCACATCCTTCCTTTTTTTGTTTTCTCCTTCCTACTAGGGAGACGGAGCCACAGCCAAAGGGATGCCAAAACCGGCCGTGCCCACCGAGGCATGGGGCAGTTCATCGCGGAGTTGCCCTATGAGATTCCCTTGAGCACGGCCGGGACGGGTTCTCCGGGTGGTGGCACATGGTGGCACGGTGGTTTTGCAGTGTGACAATGAGAATGTGATGTTGGAGTGACAGTACATGAAAGACCTGAGACAGCTCTCTATCAGTGTATCAGTGAGAATGTGATCTTTTGAAGGTGCCTTGGAAGCCATTTCGTGCACGGTTTCGTCTCTCCATCACGGGGCAATGACACACTTCGTGGCCTCCTTTCGCCGGTGTGAATCGCCGCCAGGTGAATCGCCAGTGCAGCAGCAGCTTGCAGGCCACTGCCACCATTGCAGCCTTCATCAAGGCGAGGGAGATGTGCGGGAGCGACTTCCGGACCGAAAGAGAGGCTAGCGTTGGAGACACTCCCTGACAGCGTTGGAGAGTGGAGGGAATTGAGTGAAAACCACCAGGGTTGAGGTCTTTGGACAACTCAGGGCCTTTCAGGGTCCTCCGAGTCTTCGGGGCTTCTACACCGTGCCAGTCCGGTGTCATCGACGTGGGGCTCGCCGGTGGTGTGGAGAACATGAGCATGTGCCTTGGATGCCTTTGGATGCTTAAATGACGTTTGGAATCAGATGCCTTTGAGGCAGATTCAGAGAATCAGATCCGTTCTTTCAGTTCCGATCTTTTTGGGGTCTTGGAATTGAAACAGACGGCATTGGTTCCTTTGTAAATGTCATTTGTTTTCACAAAAGGACGGGCCCCAATCTTCTTATGAAGAGTGCAGCGTTCATGATTCCGTCCTTTCCTTGCAACTTGCGATGCCACTGAAACGCAAATGCTACCTGTGGAGAAACCACGTTGCCGGTGAGGTTCCCCATGATGGCCACCATCGACATCACCAAGCTCTCCAAGGATGTCTTGGACTACCCGGATGCCGAGGCACGGTGGAGAGAGGATGGGGAGGTCTTGGGTGCATCGGATGTACCTCGGATGTCCCGAAAACCCCCAAACGCCACTATAGGACACGACCAGTGAATGGCAAATCAAATGCTGGAAGCCTTATTCTGAGACATATATGCAATATTATGCAAGTAGAAGAAGGGTAGTTGATCAACATTCTGCTCAACAGCTGCCATGTTCTGTCTTGATCTTCATCAGTCTCCCCATATATCTACTGAACCGAGCACTCAGGGTACCGAAATGATTTATAGGCCCAGAAGTTGGTTGTACATTCTCTCATTCCCTTAGAAAGATCATGTCAGTTTTTAGCTAAGCAGTTGATCTTCTTCATTTGCTCTTCTTCAACCCCGAACCGTTGGCGCCGCGTCCGCTCCCGCTGCTCCCGTCCACCCCCAGGCCTGCTTGCTGCCCATGGGCCTCACCAGCGAGAACGTGGCGGCCGCCTACGGCATCCCGCGCGATCGCCAGGACGCCATGGCCGCCGACTCGCACCTCAAGGTGCCGATTGGAACATGACGCAGAAGAAGAAGAAGAAGAAGAAGAAGAAGAAGAAGAAGAAGAAGTGAACTCTCAATGCAAACGCCATGTCTTTCGTTTCTGGGAACGCCAAGTCGGCCGGTCCCGGCCGCCCGAGGCCTTGGAAGCCCAGAAGAACGGTTGGTTCAAAGAGGAGATCGTCCCCGTCACCGTGGAGACCAAGCAAAAGGACAGGGCGGATGTGTATGACCAGAGCGCCAGACATGTCAGACATGTCGAGTGGCCAGTTTTTCAAGAAGCTACTAGTAACAAGTGCCACGCTAGTAGTAACAAGTGCCTTACTAGTAGTAACAAGAAGCTAGTAGTAACAAGTGCC